TATGATCTCAGGTTTGTTATTTAGCTATCCCAGTTTAGGTTTGTTCTGTAAATTCTCTTCCCTCACTGCCTGTTTTTGCCACTCCACCACTTGTAAATAAACCTCAATCATCAGTCACTGCCTGCACTTTGGCTCCTCCTTTTCCTCCAACACCACACGGCTCACCCCGCCAGCCGTGACATCTATAGTCTGTCACAACTTTTAAATTCTCTAAATTTTCATTCTTTGAAAATGTGAGAGATTTTCACTCTCGTAACTTTTGGACCACAGACTGTGTCTAGTCTGAGGTCCAAAAGTAGTCTCTGAGTTCAGTCTGTGTTTCCTGTTTTACTTTGAAGGTCTTGTCTCATGTTAGTGTATTTTAATCCCTGTCAGTTAGTTCTTGTTGCCTTCAGTTGCCTTCCAGCAATAAAGCTGAATGAATGTTTTGAGTTACGTTTGTGTCCGTGAGTGCTGCATTTTAGGTCCTCTCCCTGCACACAGCCATAACATCAATACAAGCTGTTAATGATGTTGTAAACCTTACAATATTAATTATAATTACAAATATTTAGCTTTAAATTATTTTCAAATTTCTATGACAATTGTCGATGTATGAAATACATAAATAAATAAATACTCCCAAAAGTAGAGCACCTAAATCACAGAAGTCCCTCTAGAGGAACATAGTATGAAGGCCAACTTCTTTACTCAAGTAAAAGTAAAAAAGTACAGGCTCTGAAATGTACTCAAAGTAAGAAGGATAAAAGCAGCTCTTCAGGGGACATTTCTATTCAATAAAATACAGATTTGAGATTGGGTTCCTTGGAAAAGTTAGAAAGATAAGCCTTCTCCCACACACCATCCCTGTGAAGCCTAAACCCTCCACACAGCCTCTGCCCAGGCAGGTGGACCATAATTATTGTACTTTCTAAGTCACTTTTATTTTTGTTTCACTTTTTGTTGTTAATTCAGTTTAGTTTGAGTGAGTTTCCACTGTCGATTTTCTTGGTTCTTTAGTTTTCGTCCTTTAAATTATCAAAGCATGGGGGGCATATATCAGAGGCAATATTTAGGAAAATCGCACAGGTATAAACACATCCATGAAAGCCTCACCAGGCAAGTTTGAATAAATTTCTACCAAACAATAAAAACTAAAATACTTTATTTTAGTTTTTAAAAAACATTATTTTTTAATTTAGTTTACTGAATAGTTTTGACATTTAGTCTTAGTTTACAGTTTAAATTTATAATAACCTATAAACTATAATAACTTTGAAAAGGACACGATCACGGTACCGTAAAAACATCACGCTCTGTGGGGGTTAGGTCACGCTCTGATTGGTTGGAGGTCCACAGGAAGTTCCGCTTCTGACGACCGTCCTTAGAAACCGAAACTAAACTAAAAACCAGGAAGAGCTCGAGAGACACGCAGGTAAGAGTTTGTATTTCTGTGGTGTGTAAACGCTTCATTAAACCGTCCAGTTATGAAACTCTGACTTAAAGATAAAAGTAAATGTGACAGCTCTGACCCGAGGAAGAGGATTTCATGTCTGCGCTGACACACACACACACTTACATCAGTGTTACACTCTTCAGTTTAAGCCTTGTTTTAGTTGCAGGCAAAGAAGGTGCTGAGACGTTACTCATGTTACGGTAAAAAGCAACGACTGTGATGCATTTAAGTGCGCCTGGTAAACGCCATAATCTGCACAAATAGCTGGTGAGGTTGTTAAAATGTGATTCATTTCTCGTGAAAACATAATCATCACTTTGTTGTTGTTTTGTGGTTTATACACATTTAGTTTTAGATGTGTAACTTTTAAACGTTCCACACAAAAATGAAAGAAATTAAATAAGTATTAGAAAAAACACCCTGACTTTGGTTCATCATCACTCAGTTACCTGACTGTGTTAAACTTTTGTTAACCACTGATGTCTCTTCAACATAAGCCAGGTGGGTAATTATTTTTCTCACGGTGTCACGTGAGTAACTGGGACTGCTGTGGAGCGCTGCACCAACAAGATGAACTCAGTTATCCTCAATATGAATTTCATGTCTTTATAAAC